TGAATGACACGGTGGTGTCTCCACTGAGTGTCTCTGGCAGGAGACTTGACTGACGAGAGTGCTGCGACATTAAGAGAAATTGTATGTTTTAAGGAGCGCACCTAAAATTAAAGTACAATCATCCTTATACAGCTCCCTTTTCAATTGTTGTTATCCAACTGGAAAAATGCTTTTAAATTCATGCAGATGAATTTGTTCACTGTGGATATAGGATCATGAGGAGAAGGTTACAAGAGCTTTAGGAAGCTGAACCGTTATCATTCGTGCATATCTCGTAACATGGAGACAGAAAGCAGAGGCTGACTGAACACTGACCCAGCCTGAGGAGTATAGGTCCACTAATTCTTCATTTAAGCAGCTGATTCTCATGGGAAAATCCCCAAGATTCAGCTTTAATTCTATTATCTGCCTTGTGCAGAGCCTGGCAGGCAGACTATTCTTTAAACACAATGTGTGGGATGCCTGCTCTCATTGGCACTTACACAACCCCAGTGACTGTGTTATAGAGGGGTTTGTAGCAAACGGGATTTTTGGTGTTTGGTGTGGGGGCATTACAGTTCAAATTTAACTGGGAGCACACTTATTCTGTGCTCCAGGCTGGCACCCAGAGCAGCAGGGCATGCCCATACAGAAGACATCCACTATCATGCAGTATCAGACACTTGCATGGGAAACACAGCTTCCTGGTGTAACCAGGACAGGCAAGGCCCTCACTCAGGGGATTGGGATCATCCCCTTGCAGAGCTTAATACTCTGAATTGATTGCAAAGGGATCAGGAACCCAAGCCTGGTCACTGAAATGAGGTGGTATGGCCCCCTCCCTCACACTCTGTGTGCTTAGCACAGCACTCCAGGGATGTTACTCCCTCCCTGTGTAATTTAGTAAACAGCTGGCTAGCCAAGAGCAAGGGTAAAGCCAGACCTACATCTCCCCCAGCTCTAGGGATGCTCTAGGGAGTGTGAGCAGCCTGCACCCTTCTCTTGGCACAGGAGTGAAGATGTCTTTGTGCCACCTGAGCAACTCACTGGAAAGGCAGTGCCATGGACTTGTTCACCTGAAGGCCTTAGATGGTCCATGTTTGTGCTGTGTTGCCTTTTAGGAGGTAAACTGTGTCCAAATATACTGAGTTTTGAGGAGGATTAATAAAGGTAAGAGGTGATTACAACATCGAATGGTACAGTCCTGTGAAAAGCAGGAGACCAGATAACACAGATTTGTGGCTGAAGGTCTCTGTACTTCACAATCACCTTTTAGCTTGGAAAAGTGAAATGCTGAAGAACACATGGACCTTCCTGAAAGCATTTCAGGTCTGCGACCATTTGTTTATGCAGCTGGCAACAATTACAGATGATGCTGGGGACTCTGAGACATAAAAATATGACAGACCCAAAGATGTCATACCAGAAGTGGTTTACTGGACATGGTTTAATGGTCGCAGTAGGGCTGGGTGATGGTTGGACTTGAAGATCTCAGAGATCTTTTCCAACCTTAATAATTCAATGATTCTGTGATGACCAAACATGCCAGCAGCCTTTGTCAGGCTGGCTAACAACATTCTGCTTAGTTGAATAGAGCTGCTCTTTAACCTTGGATAGACAGGCACTTGCACCTCACTGATAAAAAAGACAACCCTAACAAAACCAGGCTTTTGTTTTAAATTTATTTTGCAAATCTACCAATTCATTTTATGAAAGTATGAAAACCTACGTGGTTACATCAAACAGTTACATTACAATCCAGGTAATACAAATAACCACTACAAAGTTAGTTTAAGGTACTCTTGGATAACAAACTGATTTGACATTATTTAAAACAAAAATTAAGTCACAAAGAAGAGAAAAAATAGCCTTGTGATTGTCAAAGAATTTAGTTTAAAGCAAGGAAACCATTGTAGACTCTCCTTGTCCTACAGAAGGTTAAGAGAAACACTGATGTTTCCATCACCTTTCAATGTTAATGCTCGATTAGATGCATCAAACCAGTTTAAGTGCCCACAACTACTCAGGATAATAAGAACAGTTCAGAAGTTGTTTGGAAACCAATGTCAGGTTTAATTCTCTGGAAATTACATTTACAGTATAACATCACCATCATCCTTGTGTTCAGATGCATAAAAATGCTGTAATATCGTTTGTAAAATACACCAGAGCTTCGAATCCTCTCTAATTGAATTCAGTGAGAGTAGGATCAGTTTCTACATTTAATAAGTACTCCAAATTTACTGAAACCCTTACAAACAGCCTCCTGCCCAGGAAGGAAATTAATTTAGCAAACAAAATTCTGTAATAATTTAGCATAACTCTTAGCTTTACTATCCAGCAATTGACACTGCAACTGCATTTCTCAGGACCTTTATGCATGATCATTCTTTCCCCTCCACCTGCAGCAGGACACACGAAGACAGCAAGTAACTGCTTAGTAAGGACTTGGAGCTATGGAAATGAAGTGTGAAAATCAAAACCCAGATGGAATTAATCTAAAAACTGCTCTCCTGATACCCATCTGACACACCCCTAGTGTCATTCTGCTGCCTGTCAGCTGCCATTTCTGATGAGACATTTGTCAATCACTATTGCATAACTGCTTCTTACGAAGCAATCAGATGGAGCTTTGATTCAGTAGCTTCATCTCTACATTGTGTATGAAGTTTGGGGCAAAACATCCCAGATGCTACTGCTGCCTATAATGCACAGTTTCACAGAAGTAAGAAAAGATGTTTATGGGGAAAAAAAGGCAAGTGCAGGTATAACCCTGATGGCCTGGGGCATAAAGGAGATTAAAACCGTTCGTCCTCTCTTGTAGCCTGCACCTCTTTCAACTAGGACATCCAAAATGGTGCAGCTTCTCCAGTCTCCACTCATGCAACCTGCAGAGCTCATTGCAGTACAGAAGTAAAGCCAGCAGCATCTGAGCAGGGCTTCCAAGAGAACTAGGCATTTAACCACAAGAGTATCTTTAACACTGACAGTATCACCTCAAAAAACTCACAGAAACCAGACTGGTTATACAAAACCATACAAACTTTTCACCTGGACTTAAAGTGCCATCAAACTATGGAAGCAAAACAGAAGTCACTGTTGAGGGCAGTAGCTCTAAGTGTCTACAGCTGGTTCTATTCCCCTGAAGCAAATCAAAGTTTGCTACAGCCTTGGAAATGGTACCCAGCTGGTGGGAACGTTACTCTAACCAAGGTCAGCAATTCCCTTCCTTCCTGGCAACCACCCCTCTCACCCAACACACCCAAGCCAGCTAGGCTGCATTTACTGGTGCTGGCTGCAGCACTTTCCCCAGAAGGTAGTTTAAAATGGTAATAGATGCTTCAGTTTCTCATGCTCTGATATGATAAATATAATTTGTTCAGGCCTTTTGTTATGAGTGTGCATTACGACAGCCCCACCCGGTTATTATCACTGTGCCTGCTTGTTTTCCACCTCTGCTCGTGTAAGTGTAATGTCAAATCCTCTTAAGAAAGCTGAGCAGCCGTCCAGAATCACTTGTTCAACTGACATTTCCGTAATAATAAGGAAAGAAAAAAGAGTTGTGGGAAATTAAATGGTGCTCCTGTTGCCAAGTTGTTAAAATTATATGGCAATATGCTTCCAGTAGTTGTAAGAAATTAATTTGTGGAGTGCTTACAAGCCTTACATCTACTAAATCTCAAGAGGATATAAAATGCTATTTAAGTGATACAACTTACAAACGTTAAGGAGAAAAAAAAAAATCAGCACCGAAGAGTGAAAGAAGAAACCAGATTCTTGTCTGCACTCTCATTCCCAGAGGCTGGATCTCCACAGCTGAGGAAGCTGTGAGGAAGATCCTTGGTGAAGGACTTACACGTGTACATATGTCAGCACCTGCACCCCTTCCTTCTGCCACCCCTCTTCAGCAGAAGAGACAGGGCATGTTTGGTGCGTTACTCTGCTCCTGCAGACAGGGGCTGGCAAACAGCTCAGCCCCTCCACTAACCACTCTCTTAACTGCTTTCTGAAAGCACCAGCCCGAGCAGGGAGCTCCCCCAGCTTTTCACCTCCTTTACTATACACTTGTTCAGAAAGAAGTGCCTGGGACACCCCATCTGTAAACGAATTAGTTTTTAAATGATGATACTACATTTTACTGTCGTGCTTTTCTCACAACAATGCCAAATACAAGATAAAACTTTGGATTCTCTACAGAGAGTGAAATGAGCAAAGTGGAAAGCCAGCCAGCGCCGGCAGTGCCGCTCCTGCTCCCTTCTGTGGGACAGAACCAGGGTAAGGCGCTTCGGCAATCAGCACCAAGGCTAAGCAACAACCTTTCTGACAACAATTCACTCTCCACAGGCTAGAGCACACCCAACTTTTCTGCAGATGCACGGAAAACTGAGACCCCCCTGGTCGTTCCCTAAGCTGCTTTGACACTGGAACAGCAGCAGATCCTGGTCCTATTCTCCCCCTACGTACAGTACATTTTGATAGCGACACAGAAGCACACGACACAAAAGAGACTTGTTCAAGCTCACCATGGTTCTGATGGGCTACACGCACCAAGAGGCAACTCAAAAAGAGCACACGACTCAATTATCAGGACAACAACACTGACTCAATGGAATTCCGGTTCCATTTTGTGAAGGAAGAAAGGTTCACAAAGGCAAAGATCTTATTGCAAGTTGTGCTGCTCAGCTTGGCTGCTTCTAATACAGATCAGAAGTGTCAGAAGCTACCAAGGAGGCAAGGATGAAGAATTCCCGTTCTGTAAACACTAGAAGTATAGAAAGCCCGCTTGAAAAAGAAAAGCCACTGCACAATACTCCAAACAGCCTTCTCTAACAGACTTGAAACTGTTAGATCAACACTGACAGAAACCACAGATTTCAGTAGCAGTTCTGGCACCTTGTAATTTAATTTGGAAAGCTCTTGTGCTCTTGTGCAGGCGGGACTGAGGCGGCTGGTTTGCAGACCCCCTTCTCGCAGCACCCCGGGCTGGCCGGTGCTTCCCCCGCGGTGGCGCACCCCCCGACTCAGCAGGTGCCCTCCTCAGAGGGCACGGACTGGCAGCTCTCGTGAGAGACAGTGTCAATGCTCTGCACTTCGGACTGGGGGTGGATGGACACCTGCACAGCTATCTCCTGGCCTGGCTCACTCACGGACCCGTCGTCCGAGTCCCCGGCGGGCGAGTCGCTGCGCTTGACCCCCGGCTCGCTGGGGTAGATGGCAGCTGGGGCCCCGCAGCCCGGGCTCTGCTTCGGCTCCTCACCGGCTTCGTCGGGATCGTCCACTCGCACGGCCTCGAAGATCTCCTCCATGAACGCCCTGCAGTTGAGGATCAGAGGCGGGAGGGGAATGCTTCTGGCGAGCTCTTCGATGTACCGAGCAAACTCCATGGTCTTGAACTGCGTGACTTTGGCCAGCTCCAGCGTTTTGGCGGAGGTGATGATGGGGATACGCTTGGCTATCTCAAACGCCTTCTGGAGCTTCTCGGCCCCTTCCGTCCGGAAGAACTCGTTGATGGCCTTCTCCGTCTTGCGCAGGTGACTGCTCATCATGCACAGGCGGGGGATGTTTAAGATGAGGGTGATGGCAAAGGCAACGAGGCACACAATCATGTAGTAGATACTCATGTCTCCTGAGGTGAAGATAACCCTCAGGGTGACTGTGTAGTACAGGGTGTCACTGCGGTTGACACCCGCGCACGTGTATCGCCCCCGGTCAGCAAAGCTGACCCTTGTGATGTTAAGGGAATTACCAGCAACCTTCCACCGGCCACCTGCAGAGGCAAAAGAAATAAACTGAGCTAATGAAACAAAAATCGCTGGGGCAGCTAGACACATGCTGTTCACTTCATCAACAGGAGACAGAGCTTGAAGTAAGCAGTCTATTGCTAGCATAATACAGAGAGTACACATTGAAATTTCCTTTTCATGCTTGCAGTACAGACAGTCATAACCCAGTTATCCATCCTACTGCATAATGGCAAATTATCCTGCATGCTTAGGACTCTATTTTTCTCCACAGGCACCTCCTCATGTGCTTTTGGAGTGCCAGCTCTTTCTGACTGGGAACCAGTTCTGAACTAGCCCTTCTCACCCACTGTGTTTCACTGTGGTGAAAGACCATCCTCTAGAAAATCTGATTTTTCATACCTTCAGAGCCAAAAGTCAAGTGACCCATGAAAAAGATCAGAGTTTGCAAATGGCTCCATTGGCAAAAGAAGCCAGGATTTTCCTGAGACATGGTTTTCTGCTGAGCCTGCAGTGCTGACGTACAAAACCCGTGTAGAAAGAAATCAATGAAAGCAGCCAGCTTTATACAGTATTTCCTATGCAGTTACAACTTAGGGGGAAAACTGTTTTCATAACTCATTCTTCTAATTACTCTACTTTGAACTAATCTCCAGATGGCATTTTAACTACAAAGAGGTTACTGAACACTTGAGGCAGAAAGATGGCCTCCGAGAAGATCCTATCAATTAGCTTGATGACCTTCATTAATACTAATAGAGTTGGGAAAACCACATGCATCTCTAAAAGACATTATTTTTTGAAAATTAAAAGCTACAGGGACAGAACTATAAGAACCAATGGCTAGGAAAATATATTCTCCCTTTGCACAAAAGGGTTAAATAGGCTGTATTTCATCACTTGCCATTACAAACTGCCTTAGTTTCTGCAGCCTCACTGGTGCATAAACCAGAAAATAAACATTGTAAGTTACCCCACGCTTTCAAAGATCCTGTAACAAAATTAAAGCACTAATTACCATCTGGAAAAGGTCACAAGTTGTGGAGAATTGTGCTTAATTCACCTGTTTGGAAAAATATAATAAAAACCAGAGCAATAATAAATAAATAAAAAAAAATCTGTATCTGGTAGGATGCAGATTGATTTCTTCTGCATTTAATGGTGTGCTGCCTCTTGAACGAAGTGATTCTGTGGGCATCACAGTAGGATGGATGCACTAGGACAGGGTATAATTCACACCCCAGAGGGCAAAGAGCTCTGTCGTGCTCTCTCTTTATCTCCCAGCTGTAAAAATGGGAGGACAGGAAGAGAAGATGATAAAGTCCCAGAGGTTTTCAGACACTGTATAAAAGGGGAATACTGAAGGATAGAAAGCAGCAAGACTCACCTTCATCTTCCTGTTCAAGCAGGTGTCCTCTGGAGTTATACCAAAGAATACGTTCATACTGGCTGATGTTCAGTTTACATTCAATCAAAACACTGGTCCCCTCTTTGGCTATGATATCATGGTGTGCTGGAGAACTTACTAAAGCCTGAGACACTGCGTGAAGTGATGCATTGACAGGCCCAAAACCCTCTGTCCTGTTAAAAGCTACATTTTCCAGTGTAAATCCAATTGAAAAACCAGCACTAACAGTCAAAATTAACAGGCAATAGCTGAGCTTCATGGAAAGCTGGAGAAAATTCTTTAATCATTTAATTTGGAGTCATGAGGTCATATGATAGCTGTCTGTATTGCTCTGAGATAGGAGACAAGGCTCTTGATTTGTTCAGTGAGAGAATATGTCTTGGATCCAAACGCACTTTCAAGACCATCAATATTAGAAGGGGAAACTGGAAACCCAACTGGAAAAAAAAAGAAAAAACAACAGAAGAAGAATTAAGTTTATTAATGACAGCAAGCTTATGGCATATTCAAATTTCATTTCCAGTAAACAGATTTCAATTAGCATAATATAAACAGTCAGATGAGAGGTTCCAAATCAGAGCTCTGCTCAGAGCACAGCAACAGCACGAGGGTAAGAAGGCATCAGCACAACCTTCAGCCCTTTGGATGTTCCTCTTCTCAACTAAACAAATAACCTCAGGAACAATAATCATTAAGGGGAAAAAGGTTTTTTAAAAAACATCCAAGCATTCAGACTGCTTGAAATGCATAACTATCTTTAGGGTCAGGAAGTGGATTCTGCATTTGTTCACAGAGAAGAAGTGTCCTCTTAATAGAGGAAGAGAAGCAAGAAAGAGGATGTAATTCCTGCCTGCCTCCCCACAGTACCAAAGTGCTTTTAAGCTTTGGTTTTCCAAAGCCAGTCGTTCATTTGGTGTCTGGAGAAACACCAAAGCACACCCACATCTGATTTTTAGCATTTATATGCTCACTTGTTTGTAGAGGCCCAATTTGTGATACATGTCTAAATACTACATAATATGCTTATGATTTCTTGCATTGGGAAAACTCTCTTGGTGGTTATGTACAGCCACAGGGGGGAAGTCTTTCTGAATATCAGGACACTGATAAATATACTTCCTTTTCTTTTGCAACCTCTCTCAGTGCTCCTGCTGTTTTCTCTAACGCTGTGTCTTTTTGTCTTGTTTCACAATAAGCTCCTTTTGAAAAACTTTTACTTTATGCTGCTACATCTCATATCTTGTTTATCATCTTCTCTACCCAAATGCTGCCCCATAACTCACAGCAATCTGAAAAATTGTTTTGTCTAGGGACAGAATTCACACTCTGTAAATTAACGTGCACAGAAGATATTTTAAGACCTTAGGATACAGCCTCTAACTTTATGTTCTTTGCTCACACGGATTTTTCCATTTTAAAATGTCAGAATAAAACCAACTCGTATGAAAAAGAGGTAAGAGGAAATCTGTAATCAGTTTTCCTGGAAGCCTGACTCAAGAAAATTTCTAATCCAATGTGCATTCCCTGAAGTTATGATTCCATCTAGACCGCTCCAGAGCCCTCAAAAACAATTTACAAAGTACAGAAGCCACAAGCCAAGACGTTATCTTAAAGAATATCTCACTTCATCCCATTGACTGTGTGACTTCCAATCTATCATCTTTTCTTCTGCCAACAACAGATGCTAGTGGAGTTGAACTTCATAAATATCACAACACAAAGGAATAAATTTTCTTAATAAATAATGCAGACACTCCTCATCCTTCCAGAATCCCCAGTTAACATGGCCTAAAGCAGACAGAAATCTTAACACTTATGCAAAATAATGCAACATAAATAAACAGAGGTGATTTGCACTAATTGTCTTGTCAGCAGAGAAAAATTAAGCATACTCAGAACGGGAAAATGTGCTGGTAACACACTGCACAGACTAGTTAAAGTTAACCTGGCCGAACCCAGGGCACCAGCTCTACAAAGAAGGCAAAGCCAGCAGCCGTGTCCAGCTCTCCCTCAAGCCTGACTAACCAGCCTGCCCACTGAATCCTGCAAGGGAAACTGGCAAACAGGCCCTCCCCTGTTTCTCTGTGAAGAGCAACCCTCCAGCTGCTCTCTGCATCTTTTCGTTGGCCCCACTCTGTTTTCTGTCATCCCTCTTGTCCACTCACTTAAGATGAGGCCTGTGCTGAGAACTCCATCATCCCCTTGTGTTGAAGGAGCTTCCTTCCCACACCTAAAGGGTTAAAACCAGTGCCAAGGACTCTTTTGTTCTTGTCTTCCACCAGTTCCACCTTACAGAAAGTGCTACTGAGTACTGTTGCCTCTGGGAAGAGCATCCCAGCCACATCAGCCACACAGGACTGAAAAAAACAACCATATCCAGGTTGCTGCTGATCAGCAACTGTTATTCTGTTTGAAGGAGCAGTTTTAATCTTCCCTTTTCATACCTCTAGTATTTTTGCAGTGTTGCAGAGCCTTCAACAGGCTGCCAACAACTGACCTGCTTATTTTGGTCACCTTGTGCAGGTTTCTTAAAGGCAGGGCAGTGGTTTGTGGACCACTGACATTTGGATTGCTGGAGCTGCCATTTGAGAGCCTGTCACAGCTGGCAGGAGCCTGTGAGGTGCTGTGGTGTCACCTCTTCCACATCCATCCCCCCACCAACCAGCTGCCATCAGCTAAAAATGCCACTGCACTTAATGGTTTTAGGATGCCTCAGGGCTTACCTGAGAGGTGAGGACAAACCCTCACTGCAGTATCACATCAAACACATGGAATAACTTAGTCTTCTAAAACATTAACTTCCCAACTAATAATGTTCTAGATTTATTACAAAATAATTCCAATATCTCCTGTACTTTGCCTGGGTTACTCTCGCTTTAGATTTCCAAGTGTCTGTGATCCTCCTCCTAAAACGACATTAGGAACCTCAGTCAATTATTTAACACAAGAAAGACTCAGCAACATTTTCCCTCATAAGAATAGGATAATTATCTTCAGTAATTGCATATGCTCTCCACTGTATTTGCACTGAGCCTGCAAAATGTATAAAACATTGGTGATGGGTCATTGAATTTTACTATTAAACTCTTGGAGGTCTGATTTACTAGAAATTGTTTGTCACATTTTGCTTTTGGGAAAGCCATTACTGCTAAGCAGACAATGATCTCTCACTGCCAAGTGCTGGGAAAAATAAAATGATTTGTGAAATCTATATTCTTCAACCCTCACACTTATGCAAAACAGCTGCTGGAGCTGATAAAGGATCCAAAAAAGGATAAAGCACAAATGGTGTCAATATCACAATCCCTCAGAAAAGCATTAACACCAAGCAAGATGAAATGTGAATAGAAACTGGCTATTTTACACCTGAACCTGAGCTCAACATACTTAACCTTTATTAAACCATAAGTTGTAATAACAAATAGCAGTGAAAAGATAAAAATCTGTGATGTGTGTGCTTGCACAAATCATCTTTGGCTCTTATCCTGACAAAACGAACCTGCATTTAATTTAAAGCACTCTGAGTTGTCCCACTGAGGTCAATGGAAACGCTGCTAGTGCTCAAAATTACACACATCTATTAGGCACTGCACAATGAGGGCCCGAGAGGTTGTAAGTTATACGGCTTTGCATTTGGTGCTCATACACCACTTTGCACCTGGCATGCACCGGCGTTCCCAGCGAGCTCATCGGTCACAGCGCTGACAGAACGGCCCCTGCACGCCTTCCTCCCTGCCGTGCCCACCCCGCAGGCCCCTCCGACATTAATTCCTGGGAATTTTGTGACAATCGCCGGTGCGGTGTGGACCACAGCCTTCACCGGTTGGCGTTCCCAGGGCGGGAGAGGCCGCAGGGGGGTTCCCCCTCTGCCAGCACCAGCAGTGGCTCCTCACGGGATGCTCCCTCGGCTCCCGGCACGGGATACCTGCAGGACGCGGGGTGGGCCGC